TTTGATGGCGTGAAATCCGAGTTTTAATAAATGTAGACTGTGACATAGCTTCAATTGGGTTGTTTGGTGTCTGAGAAACCCAAGGTTGAGCAGTACCTGGGCGGGAGCTTGGAGGCGTTGGTGTCCTTAACTTAAGATCAAGTGTAGATATCACTCTCTCAGGGTCAAATGGAAGAAGCCCTGCCCCTCGGAACCCGCCTCAAATGTTACTTTCCGTCATTGTAGTGTTAAATGCAGCGTGGAAGGCAGGAAAGAAGTCATCCTTTGTAATATGAGAAATATGAGCCTGCATCATATCTTCAATTTGCCGACCATAGGCCTGCTTTAACGGGCCGAAACAGCCAACATCAAGTGGCTGGAGTAGATGAGAAGAGTGAGCAGGCATACAAAGCGTAATAATGTTGTGTTCCTTGCAGTACTCCTCAAACTCATCTGAGTGGTGGCTCTCATGACCATCAAGGACTAACAAGCGATAACCACCAACACTCCGGGCCTTTGTATGCTTCTCAAAGTGCTGAATCCAATCCATGCCTCTCTCGTTTGTAGTCCAGCCATTTTCAGTAACAGAAATCACCCAATCGCTTGAAAATCCACTATTCTCATACCAAGATGTAAGGTGGTTTTTGCCTGCAACAATGATAAATGGTGGTACTGCCCAACCTTGAGAACTAACGCCTTGGATTACTGTAACCCATTCCCGATTACCAGGCTGTACCTTCTTTGCTTTTGCCCGCCCGTCTGAGCTTGTTACAACCATAGCAGTTGAGATAACGCCCATCATAAACCCAGTCTCATCAAAGTTGTAGATATCTGCTTCATCGATACCATATTTCGCAATTGTGTTACGCACAAGCTCAAACCAGCCATTAATAACTTCTGGATCTTCGCACTTAGCCCTCTGGTAGTCGTATTTGCGCTGAAAGCGTGTCTGGAGCTCTACACGCCGCTTAACAAAGTTTGAAGCCCAACGCGACCCAACGCGTGACGCGTCGCGTGTTGCAAGTAGTCGACTTGCCATATCTTCAACAACAGACAGCCGAGGAGGAAACCCTTTGGCAGCTAGGTCGAGTATATACTGAACAAGGACGGACTCCTCTAGGTTAGTTAATTTCCGTGAGTTGGCTTGGATATCGCGTCGTGAAGGTACACCTTCTAGACGACGACCTAGCTTGCGGTGGTCCACAGAATAGATCCTAGCAGCAACTCGAAGGCGTAACTTTGGGTCGCTTTGCATAGCCTGGATAGCTAGCACTAATCGGCTTTCATCGTTTTTATGGGGCATGTTTTGTTGTTGAGGAATTTAACATTTAGTTGGGGGGTTTGGTCACCGCATCATTTTGGCGCTTTCGCTTGTTTGGCGCTTTCGCTATACATGTACGTTATCCTTCTATAAATATAAATATTGTCCTATTATATTACTTCGTCAAACACACTACGTGTATCCTCTCTACAGCCATAAGCACCGAGCTGGCATGAGGCGAGATACTTGAGCCCCTTGACAATCTGTACCAGTCAGCACATCAACCCATCATAGTCGTAGGATGCATCTGTGCCAGTGCAGTAGCCAGCTCAAGCTCGGTAGGGTAGGGAGGCGAGTACACGATATTGTCAAGCGTGACAGGAAGGTGCTGAAAGATGGCATAGTGAGAGCCTTCAAAGTTAAATCACTCAACCATGTTGTGGAAGTTCTAGTGCCGCACTCTCCATAACATGCGGACCCTCTGGGCGGCGTCGGGTCCCTCAAGGCACTTCACCATAAGAAGATCGTACGGGGGAGACAGATCAGCTACGATGGGAACATATCCGCCGAGGTTCAGTTCGAACTTCTCACAGAAGCGGGCCCATGGAGATCCGAACTGGACTGTGCAATCGAGCATGCTGGCACCGCTCTGGGCAGCTTTCACGACCTGCAGCTCCCTGAGAGCAGACTTAGTGGCTGTCTCACGGCTGTCCAGAGAAGCTTTTATATCGCGGCGTCGCTCAGACTTGCAGTCCTGCGATGCTATAATCTTTCTCTTCTTCTAGATCAGCGAAGCAACGCTGGGAGGGACGCTCTCCTCTGGCGTGTCGATGTTACGGCTACAGTAACATGATGTCATGGTTACAGGGGCCAGGGCCTAGTAACGTGATGTGTGAGTCACAGTGGGAAGCGGGGTAGGCTGCCATGTGACGGGGCTAATGGATAGTTGCAGAAACTAGTGGATATTGGATAGTTGAGCTATCCACGAACTATCCTGAATATCTAGCTATCCGCCAACTATCCAGATTACCCATGAGGCACGACGCCACTATATAAGTAGATAGTATTTCCTTAGATAGGAGCTTCGTGCTCAACTCAATATAGTATTCTTTACAATACTGTAACGTATTACTTGGAAAAGCCTTTGTGTCTAATCCCCTGCCTCCTCTGTCAAGTCAACCTTATGCAAGAAACCTCTGTGTCTTTTATCGTTTAGAAGTCAGCGTTACAGAGAGTCACTATTCCTACCATTCGCTACACGTAAAGGAATAGCAGGAATAGTAAGAAAGTCTACTATTCCCACTATCCCTTTAGCACGATGCCACTATATAAGTAGATAGTATTTCCTTAGATAGGAGCTTCGTGCTCAACTTAATATAGTATTCTTTATAATACTATAACGTGTTACTTAGAAAGCCTTTGTGTTTAATCCCCTGCCTCCTCTGTTAAGTTAACCTTATGTAAGAAACCTCTATGTATCCTATCGGATAGGAAGTAGCGTTACATGCTATGGATCTCTCGAATTTCTTAAATCTAGTAGAGGAGAACATAGAGATGATGGAGGAGAGCATTAGGGAGGCTATAGGGGATGGTATACTTCTAGTAGGTCATTGCACAATACATACTAGATTCTAAGGCTCAAGATGATGATGAGGGTGAAGAGCTTAATCTACAGTCTATGCTAACCCCACAAGCTGCACATCAAGCTATACAACGTTTAATTGAGTTTAATAGAATCTAGGAATAGTGGCACGAAGGAGGCAGCAGTGTATTTACAGTCCTTTGAGAAGTTTGAGAGACAGTTAGGGCTTATAGTAGCCAATTCTAAGGCACAGGGAACCTTACATGGCTAGTTTATGTAAATAGTTTAATTTTATATAGATGTCACGTGAAATTCCATATCTTAATATTTACGCTAACGTACATGTATAACGAGTCGGCCACCCAAGTGAGTCGGCCACTTTCCACCATTTCCACCACCTTTTACTTTGCAACTATTTCCCTCTACGTACAAAAATGGAATCTACTTCAAATGAAAGCCGTATAATCCTAGCAATTGAAGCTCTTAAAAATGACCCTAAACTTACCGAACGAGCTGCAGCAGGTATCTATAAGGTTCCCCGGGCGACTTTGGCCGACCGACGCGCTGGAAAACTATCAAGACGCAATATAACTGCAAATGGGAGGAAGTTGACCAATACTGAAGAGAGTGTGCTTCTTGATCATATTATTGATCTAATTGAGCGAGGATTTCTGCCCCGGCTCAAAGATATACAAGATATGGCCAATCGCCTCCTTGGGGTACGCGACGCAACGCGTGTTGGCTCACGATGGTCAGGGAACTTCGTACGACGCCAACCAGCCCTTAATATGCATTTTCGACGTCGAATTGACTACCAGAGGGCCCTAGCTGAAGATCCTAAGATTATACAAGCTTGGTTTGCACTTGTACAGAATACAATTGCAAAATACGGTATTGTCAACTCAGACATCTACAACTTTGATGAGACTGGGTTTTTGATGGGAATGCTCTCGCATGCTAAGGTTGTAACAACCTCTGATCGACAGGACAGACCTCGTACAAAGCAGCCTGGCAATCGGGAATGGGTTTCTGTAATCCAGGGTGTATGTGCAGATGGCTGGGCAATGCCGCCATATATCATTGTTAAGGGCAAATATCACCTCCTCTCCTGGTATACCAACGGCCAATTCCCACCAACCTGGCGGATCCATCCGAGCGAAAATGGCTGGACTACAAACGCTATAGGCCTAGATTGGTTGAATCACTTTGAGGGATGTACTAAGCCTCGTACAACTGGTGGATATAGACTTCTAATCCTCGACGGCCACAACAGCCACCGGGCTACTGAATTCGATGATTTCTGCAAGCTTAACAATATTATACCGCTTTGCATGCCTCCCCATTTATCGAATATCCTCCAGCCTCTCGATGTAGGCTGTTTTAGCCCTTTAAAAGCTTCGTATAGCAAGGCAATTGAGCAGATGATGCGGAGGCATATAACTCACATTACTAAAGACGACTTCTTTCCTGCCTTCCAGCAGGCCTTTTTTGCTTCAATGGGAGAAGAGAATGTACGAGCTGGCTTCCGAGCAACTGGCCTTGTTCCATACGACCCTGAAACAGTAATTTCTCGGCTGGATTTTAAGCCTAGAACGCCTACACCGTCAAACTCTCGGCCAGGAACCGCTACCTCCTGGGGTCTAAAAATGCCAACTACAGCAATTGAGGCTGTTCAAAGCTCTACTACCTTGAAATCTAGGATTGCTAGGCATCAGGGTAGCTCCCAACCCATTTATATAACGTAGTTGACGCCCAGGCTAAAGGTATCTCAATGCTAGCACACAGACTAGTCCTTCTTGAAGCTGAGAACCAGGAGCTTTGTACAGCAAATGAGTTACTAAGCAAACGCCGGAGGGCTAAAAAGAGCCGCCTACAGCTTGGAGGTTCGCTTTCAGCACCTGAAGCTAATGCGATACGGCTAGAAAAGGGTATAGTTGATGCTAGGAGAGAAAATACACGTAGGGAGGGTAGTTCTACAGAGCGGGCTCAGCTACGTACTCGGCGTTGTGGCAACTGCAGCCAAACTGGTCATAATTCGCGAACTTGTCAGGTAGTTTGGGAGACGTCTGAAGATGGCGATTCTGAGTAGTTTTAATTGATTTAAGGCGTTGTAGTTGAATTGATTTATATAATATATAGGTGGTCAGTGGAAAGTGGCCGACTCGCTTGGGTGGCCGACTCGTTACATGTACGTTATCTCGATATTATTTACGGGAGCTGAGCTATCGACGTAACGTTATGATGTACCCTGCTATCTACCTCGTGCAGTATGTACGGAGTATACTCTATCTATATGCACAAACCCCCATAAAAAACATCCCTCCCTAGTAAAAAACGCCCGCTCAAACCCCCACCCCTCCAGACATTCGCTGGCATAGCTAATCATACATAATTAAAGGCAAAAAAAAGCATGTGGCAGCGAAAGCGACCAACAGAAATAGCCCGCCGAGCCCACGATCTAGATCCCCCTGTCGTATTTTTGGCGTCGTATTTTTGCGTCGCATTTCTTTGCTCGGGCGCCTCTTTTTTTCCTTGCCAATAGTGTGCTCGATCAGATGAATGCATGCGCTCAGACTAATGAGCAGATTAATGGGCAGCTACCGATATCGCAGCGGAGTTCCCAAACAGCTCCTCCTCCATTTCAGCAGGGTGGTCGATGCGGTTGTTGAACTCCTTGACGGGGTCGATGAGGAAGATGGAAGCTGTGAAATTCATTAGTCTCGTGATCCCAGAAATAATAATACTGCAAATATAGACGTACCAACAGCAGTCGCAACGGTGAAACACCCGGCAGCGACCCAGATGAACCTGAAGCCCAGAGTGTACGCCTCGCGGAGTCCCCCAAGACCAGCACCGATGACCTGTCCAGTGACGCCCGGGATTTTCCCGAGAGCGGCAACGTTCTGGTTGTTCAGCGCAGTGATGAAGTCAGGCAGTGAGGACTCGGGCAGGCCGAGGGGTAGGACGGCCGCGGCGATCTTGGGGCCGAGATTGGTGTTTAGCTTGCCAACGAGAATGGCGTTGTCTGCATAGATGTTAGCCGGGGGAGCTGGTAATATAAGGAGATGTGGACTTACAGATAGCCAGACCAATGGAACCGCCGAAAGAGCGAACGGAGATCATGAGCCCGGATGTCGTTGCGATGAGCTCACGGGGGGTAGACAGCTGTGCAACAGTGACGAGCGTGCAGAGACACGTTCCGAGACCGATACCCAAGAATACGGGGTATCCCCATGCGTGATCACCGCTTGACGGGCCAGCCGTAGCCATGAGGATAAAGAAGATGATCATGCTGACGAAGGCGCCCACGGTCGGGATCTTGACCTGCTTAGTTGTCGCGCAGTAGGCGCCCGCGAGAATGGCGAAGAGGGCGTAGATGATGAAGTTGATCCCGTACCGGGCGCCGACACGTAGCGGGTCCGTCTCGTAGAGGATGGATGCCTGGAAGGCGAAGTAGTTGTTCGCCGCGAAGAAGACCAGGCCCTCAACGAAGATACCGAAGAGCGCAATGGAGAAGTTGCGGCCGTTGCTGAAGAGGCCGTGGTGGAACATGCCGTCCTTCTTGAAGCGCGTCTCGTAGACGATCAGGGCTGCGATGAAGGCAATACCGATGAAAAAGGGCACCATGATATGGACCTCTGGCCAATCGTATGGGTTCTGCGACCATGAGAGACCCATGCAGAAGAGGACGAGGCCGGCAGTGAGGAAGAAGTAGCCGATCCAGTCGAGCTTCTTCAGCTTCTCGAAGTGCGCGAGGCCGAGCTGTGTTGGCAACGATGGTGGGTTGTATAAGACGAGGCAGAGAACTGTCGCGATGGCGTAGATAGCAGTCGAAAAGTACCAGTAGTTTCTGAATCCCTCCGGGTTGGTCCGGGTCATGGCACCTCCCACGAGGAGAGCCACAAGACCTCCCAACGAAGCCGCAACGTTATCGGCGGCTTGTGCGTATGGTCTGTACTTTCGGGGCAGCACCTCGGAGGTGACTGCGTGGAGGAGAGGCTGGACACCATATGAGATTCCGGCAACACACTGTCCCGCAATGGCCATGTTCATGGTGTCTGCGCGCGCAACGATAATGGAGCCGACGGCGCCGCAGAGGGTGAGGAGGATGAGAAACCATCGGCGGCCCCAGTAATCGGCCGCTTGGGAGACTGGGGGAGAGAGGACGGTGGTGAAGATGGCAACGGCAGAGGTGAGCCAGGTGCTGTTGGCATTGCCGCCGACTACCTTTGCAATATCTTGTGCGCGCTGGGAAATAGTCAGAGGGGCTTGCTATTCTGGATTTTGGGATGCAACTTACAGCACCTGCGCCAACAACGTTGATGAGCTGCGCAAAGTAGATCAGGCAGACTGCGAAGACCGTGAGCCACGTCTTCGTGTGAAGGCGTGGCTCGGGCTCGTCATGGTCCTCGATGCTGGCCGAATTGTCGCAATACGTCTTCTCGTCGACCTGGTTATCGGAAACCACTTGCTCGGCAGGGATTGCTCCAGGTGCCGACGCCGAAGCCACAGGGGCAGCCTTCTCTTGAACGGGAACACCTGCGTCCGCCATCTCTACAGACGATATGAAGTCAATTGGAGAGAGAGTTGTTGATCTGAACACCGGTGAACCCTGACCGGTACCCTGGCAATGCTGTTCCTTCCGAGTTTAAGCCTGTAAACGCTCCTGTGGCCACCACTTTAGCGGCTGATCCCTGTGTGCTAGTGATGTTGCTAGTGATGTTGCTAGTGATGTTGTAGTGATGCTGCTGGTGATGTTGTAGTGATGCTGCTAGTGATGCTGCTAGTGATGCTGCTAGTGATGCTGCTAGTGATGTTGTAGTGATGCTGCTAGTGATGTTGTAGTGATGCTGCTAGTGCAGGCAGTACCACTAAACACCCACCGTCACGGGAAGAACAACCGCCGCTGTCCAGAGAGTGTACTACTCCTACTCTACTGGTGCTCTATAATCTTACTCATGCAGCCAAGAATATCAGGAACACAAACCTATAAACCTCCTCCATCATTAATCAGCTTCATCCTATTCTAGTATCTCATATCCTATAGCTCCACATTGAACATTGTTTTTCCCTTTTCTCCCCTCCATCTCCATCCCCAACCTCAACCAACTACCCCTCTCCCCAAACCCTCAAAACCACCCCTCCACCCCTCCACCCCTCCACCCCTCCACCCCTCCACCCCTCCACCCCTCCACCCCTCCACCCCTCCACCCCTCCACCCCTCCACTCCCATCCACCCCCCAATCAACCACCCCCCAACCCGCCATGGCTATCTCCCCCCCCTCAACATCCTCATCGTCGGCGCCGGCATAGGCGGCTTCGCCGCCGCCCTCACCCTCCGCCGCGCCGGCCACCACGTCCAGATCTACGAGCGGTCCAGCCTCAACAACGAGATCGGCGCCGCCATCCACGTCTGCCCGAACGCCTCTCGCGGCTTGGCCGCCCTGGGCCTCGACCCCGTCGCCGCGCGCTTCGTGACCGCCAAGAAGAGCTGGCGCGCCGACAGCGCGACGCTAACGTGCTTTCATGAGGCGGATGAGGGGTATATTTCCGAAAAGTTCGGGGCGCCGTGGTGGTGGTGCCATAGAGTCGATTTGCATGAGGCGTTGAAGGTGTTGGCGCTGGGGGAGAAGGGCGAGGGGAAGCCGGCGGTGGTGCATTTGAAGAAGGAGGTTAGGAGTTATGATGCTGAGGCGGGGTCTGTGACGTTCACGGATGGGAGTGTGGCTAGTGGTGACTTGGTGGTCGCTGCTGATGGTGTGCACTCCAAGGCTGTTGAGACCGTGATAGGGTACCCGAACCCAGCGCTGCCGACTGAGAAGTACAACTTTTGCTACCGCTTCTTAATCCCTACTGCAGAGATCGCTGCGGACCCAGAGACGGCCATCTGGACCGAGGGCGACGATGGGAGGATCAAGGTTATTGTTACTGAGGGACGGAGGCTGGTGTGGTACCCATGCAGGAAGTATGTTTTGTTCAATTAACGAGTCACATTTGAACCGACGGCTGACTATGAGAAGTAACGAGCAGCACAATTTTGTGGCTATCTTCAGCACCGATGATGAAGTCAAAAATGTGGAAGGTGAGCATGTCCCTCACCCCCAAACATACCATGCCAACTAACGTTCCACAGATTATCGCACCCCTCTGGAGGTTTCCGCCCTCCTAGAAACCTACAAAGGCTTCCACCCATCCGTTCTTGCAGTCCTCAAGTACCCCCCCCCATCCCCCCAATCTTCATCCACATAGCTAATACCCAGACAGAAAAGCAAGAGACCTCAAGCAATGGCCCCTCCTCTTCCGCGCCCCCCTCCCAACCTGGCGCCGTGGCAAGCTCGCTCTCCTCGGTGATGCCGCGCACCCCATGCTTCCTCGTACGACTCCCCTACCCCCTTCCCACCTCCCATACCCCCTTTTCCCACACCCCAACCAAAACACTAAACGCAACTAACACACCCCCAGACCAAGGCCAAGGCGGCGCCCAAGCAATCGAAGACGCCCTCGCACTAGGCCTCCTCCTCACAGGCGCCATGCCCGAGACCCTCCAATCGCGCCTATCTCTCTACGAAGGTCTGCGTCTCAACCGCGCCAGCGCGATCCAGCACTTCAGTAACGCGGGTCAGGATGAGCCGGAGAAGATTCGCGAGGCGGCGGGTAAGTATATGGATGCTGATAAAGTGCCTAGTACGTATAATCTTGATTCCCATTTCCATTTCCATTCCCGGTTTTGGAGTGCTGGGTTGAAAGAGGGAGAGGGGAGAGCTAACGTGTACGGATAGAAAACCCGGAGGAGTTCTTTGAGTTTAATTTTGGGTATGATGTTATTCATGATGCAAAGCTGGCGTTGCAGAAGGAGGTGCCGGGGTGGGAGGTGCCGGAGAAGTTCTTTGAGAGTGAGCCGAGACGGGGGACGTATCCTTAGATGGTTTTGCAGAGAGAGGATGAGGTGGGGGTAAAGATGGTTGGTTATGGTGATGAGATATGATAGATACATTGGGTATAGAGGGAAAATAAAATATTGTTAACTGACAAGACTGATGCTTGGGGCGACGGGCAACGCAGGCTGGAAAACTGGCGATCCTGATACCTTGGTTCGAAACGGATCGTCAACCTAACCAAAACCCGGGGTCTTATTTGTGGGATTCCGTATCCCTGACTTTAACCTCCATATATCCATAACGTACATGTATAGCGAAAGCGCCAAACAAGCGAAAGCGCCAAAATGATGCGGTGACCAAACCCCCCAACTAAATGTTAAATTCCTCAACAACAAAACATGCCCCATAAAAACGATGAAAGCCAATTAGTGCTAGCTATCCAGGCTATGCAAAGCGACCCAAAGTTACGCCTTCGAGTTGCTGCTAGGATCTATTCTGTGGACCACCGCAAGCTAGGTCGTCGTCTAGAAGGTGTACCTTCACGACGCGATATCCAAGCCAACTCACGGAAATTAACTAACCTAGAGGAGTCCGTCCTTGTTCAGTATATACTCGACCTAGCTGCCAAAGGGTTTCCTCCTCGGCTGTCTGTTGTTGAAGATATGGCAAGTCGACTACTTGCAACACGCGACGCGTCACGCGTTGGGTCGCGTTGGGCTTCAAACTTTGTTAAGCGGCGTGTAGAGCTCCAGACACGCTTTCAGCGCAAATACGACTACCAGAGGGCTAAGTGCGAAGATCCAGAAGTTATTAATGGCTGGTTTGAGCTTGTGCGTAACACAATTGCGAAATATGGTATCGATGAAGCAGATATCTACAACTTTGATGAGACTGGGTTTATGATGGGCGTTATCTCAACTGCTATGGTTGTAACAAGCTCAGACGGGCGGGCAAAAGCAAAGAAGGTACAGCCTGGTAATCGGGAATGGGTTACAGTAATCCAAGGCGTTAGTTCTCAAGGTTGGGCAGTACCACCATTTATCATTGTTGCAGGCAAAAACCACCTTACATCTTGGTATGAGAATAGTGGATTTTCAAGCGATTGGGTGATTTCTGTTACTGAAAATGGCTGGACTACAAACGAGAGAGGCATGGATTGGATTCAGCACTTTGAGAAGCATACAAAGGCCCGGAGTGTTGGTGGTTATCGCTTGTTAGTCCTTGATGGTCATGAGAGCCACCACTCAGATGAGTTTGAGGAGTACTGCAAGGAACACAACATTATTACGCTTTGTATGCCTGCTCACTCTTCTCATCTACTCCAGCCACTTGATGTTGGCTGTTTCGGCCCGTTAAAGCAGGCCTATGGTCGGCAAATTGAAGATATGATGCAGGCTCATATTTCTCATATTACAAAGGATGACTTCTTTCCTGCCTTCCACGCTGCATTTAACACTACAATGACGGAAAGTAACATTTGAGGCGGGTTCCGAGGGGCAGGGCTTCTTCCATTTGACCCTGAGAGAGTGATATCTACACTTGATCTTAAGTTAAGGACACCAACGCCTCCAAGCTCCCGCCCAGGTACTGCTCAACCTTGGGTTTCTCAGACACCAAACAACCCAATTGAAGCTATGTCACAGTCTACATTTATTAAAACTCGGATTTCACGCCATCAAAATAGCTCTCCAACCTCAATCTATGCAGCTGTTGACCAGTTTACAAAGGGTGCATCGCAAATAATGCATCAATTAGCACTGCTAAAGGGAGAGAACCAAAACCTACGACAGGCAAATGAAGTACTAAGCAAGCGCCGGAGAGCTAGGAAAACACGACTACAGCAAGGAGGATCACTTAGTCAACAAGGGGCGCAAGAGCTACAGGATGAGAGGGATGTTGTGCAGCAGGTAGAGCAGGAAATAAGGGCAAGCCGTGGTCGGAAGCCAAGGGAAGAAACCCGTGCCCGTCGCTGTGGCAAGTGTGGTGAGACTGGGCACAATGCGCGCACGTGTCAGATTGTAATAGACACCTCTGAGGAAGAGGACTCCGAGTAGTTTCAATTGATTTCTAATGTTGTGGTAGATTTATCGCAATGTTTGTCGTGAGGGTAGATAATTTTGGCGCTTTCGCTTGTTTGGCGCTTTCGCTATACATGTACGTTATTCCATATATTAGGAGGGCCATATAAAACGCCCAAGTCCATCCTGGGTTGGTGAGATCTGCTCAAAAGTGGCAAAAGTGGTGCTTGGGCGGCTTGTGGGAGATGAACTGCAGAAAACATCATCCCGCACGGGATATGCGGTGTGCAGTTTGAATTGTTCATGGCCATGGTGATCTGGTGATAAATTGCCGTTTGGTCCTGGCCGTAAACCGTCGTTGTGTTGTCAAAGTTGAACCTTAGAACACATGAAGATACGCCCATGATAGGCTTAACTAATCTCCTGATACACTTAGTAAGGGAACAGAAAATCAGGATCAGATAAACCAGTACGGCTGAGCCAAGACAATTATCATGTTAACGATAATTTTCAATGTCGACTTGATATAAATGCCAAGTTACATACAGGAACAAAGATTATTTGGCCAGTAACTTACACCAATCTGATAGTACGACCCCATATACCATCCGCATTCAGACTAGGGGTTTTCTGGCGTAATCGGCGCGGCACAAGCCGCCGATGCCGATGGCATTGACGCCTGCTCTGGGGGGGGGAATGCTTTGAATCTCACCACATCTCACGCCGAAGCCTCACTCCATATTCTCGTACATGTCATATATAATTATAGTTAGGGCTGTTATGGCCAATATAGACTCATGATTCCCGTCCGAAATTCCGAAACTCAACCCCATAAATACGACAACCACAACTAATCGCCCCCGATGGAACCCCTCCACAACCAGTCGAATCCCCTCAGTGGCGACGGTACCTCGAATCCCGCCACAAGTAAAGGTGCAGACGACAAGAGCGCGCTCGCCTCGTCAATGTCGCACTCGCCGCTGCAGTCATCAAACACACTTTATACGCGGTCGTGCGACGTGTGTCGCAAGCGAAAGGTCAAATGCAACAAAATAAGCACAGGATGCTCGAACTGCGCTAAGGCGCAGATAGAATGCCACTACCCAGGCCCTGGGCGTGCGCCGCGGCGGCCGAAGGTAGTAAAGCAGGTCATGGCGAGAGAAACCGAGTTTCTGAAGCGACTGAGGCGGCTGGAGGGTGTTGTGCACGAGTTGAGCGGGCAGGTGAACGAGGAAGCCCATCGGAATTCTACAGACAGCCCGAAGGATAGACTGTGGAAAGATAAGGGTGCGAGCAGTGATGCTGATAGTACAATGAGCAAACCACAATCGGCGAAGGGGACTGTGAGGGTGGTGGGGATGGATGAGGGAAAGACCATGACTTCCAAGTGGCTGGAGCGGATGGCCAATATAGGGGAAGGCCCCCCCGAATCCGATTTGGTAAAGCGGGAGTTTGGGAAGCTGGTCATAGATGAGGGGAAGAGTCATTATGTCAACAGCGACCTGTTTGCAACTTTAAGCCATGAGGCACGTAAAATAGCGCCCTTTTTCCTTAACAAAGCGCCATTCCCTGAGATAAGTGTATGTAACTAACCCTCATTAGGTGGAAGATATCAGAGAGATATTTGATGGTAATGATACTTCAGTCGGAGATGATGGAGAGCTCACCGATCTGCCAGGTTCAAGATCCCCTGTGGGACATCAGGGGTTTTTGTTTGGCTATTCGAGCACTATGGTGGATCTGCGGTCTCTGCACCCCTTGCCTTCGCAGATACCATTCTTCTGGGACGTCTTTATGGAGAACGTGGACCCTCTCACGAAAGTCCTCCACGTGCCTACAATGGCCAAAGCAATCAAGGAGGCCAAGGAAAATCTCGACAGCCTGAGCAAGAGTATAGAGGCGTTGCTTTTCGCAATATATTACTCTGTTGTAACATCCATGAGCCAGGAAGAAGTCAAGTCAAGCTTTGGCACTAACAAAAGCGTGTTGATTGATCGCTATAGGTTCGGAGTGGAGCAAGCTCTCGCCCGAGCTGACTTCCTCAATACCTCGGAGCTGGTCATAATACAAGCATTCTCTCTCTTCCTGACCTGCGTTCGCCATCATGACCAGTCCAAATTTGTCTGGTCGCTAGCTGGTCTTGCGATCCGACTATCGATAGGCCTTGGCCTCCACCGCGACGGCTCCAAGATGGGTCTTTCGCCTTTCGACACCGAAATGCGCCGCCGGTTATGGTGGTCGCTTTGCGTTCTCGACGTCCGCGCATCCGAAGACTATGGCTCTGAACCTGCGATCCTGGAGGGCACCTACGATACCCTTTTACCTCTTAATGTTAATGACGCTGATCTTGACCCTCTCGCCACCGAACCCCCGCAGGAGCACGTCGGCGTGTCTGATATGACCTTCTGCCTCATTCGGTACGAGGTCTGCAAAGTCATGCGGCACATGCCTTACTCGACACCCCATGTCTATGCCCCCATCGCGAACGCTACCACTTTCGAGGAGAAGGAGAAAATGGTGCGAGATCTACACGCCCACCTTGAGACGAAATATCTCCAATACTGCCTCAATTCCGGACCTCTCCACTGGGTCGCCGCCACCGTCTCACGCCTCGTCCTCGCAAAGATGAGCATCATGATCTTCTTCCGCGGCCCAGACTCCCCTGATAACCTGCCCCAGCACATCCGCGACCGCCTCTTCATCGCTAGCATCGAAATCAACGAGTACAGCCGGCTCCTTGAGACCGGCGCCGCGACGAAAAAATGGGGCTGGCTGTTCCACACGTACGTCCACTGGCACGCCCTCGTGTATATCCTCCGCGAGATCAGCCATCGTCCACGCTGCCCTGTCACGGACCGCGCGTGGCGTGCTGTGGATAGCTCGTTCTCAAGTTGGGATGATGCGGTGAAGCATTCCCGCAGCTCGAAGAATGGGATGCTGTGGCTGCCACTGCGCAGGTTGATGGCTAAAGCGCATCGTAAGCGCGAGGAGGACCTTGCTGCCGTTGCCGCCGGTGACATATCACGCCAAAAACCTGGCTTTTTGGACATGGATAAATGGGCGATGCCGTCGGAGTGCCCGAGCGCGATGCCTCAAGGGGAGGAGCAGCAGCATCAACCCGTTGAGCTTGGCGACGTCGAAGTCTTCCGTCCTCTGCAACAGGGTATCTTGTACCCAGACCAGCCGATGTCCGATTGTGGCCCGGACATCCCCTTACGGCCTTATACGATAGAATCACAGACGCAGGAGGTGAGTTCGGCTATCGAGGACGCGGGGGGTGGACCGACGCAACTACAGGCGCAGTTCCAGCAGTACGAGAACCAGCAGGCGCAGATGGCGCGGCAACAGAATATGCAGACCCCGGGGTACCGGGGTGTCCGAAACCAAGTGCCGGGATATGCGGGGCAGATGCAGGGTCAGGTGCCGTGGTTGCTTGAGGCGCCGCTGAGAGATTTGGATATGGAGATGGGGGTGAGCTCGGGGGAGAGTAGTGGTATGGATGATTTCTCGTGGGAGAACTTTGATGATCTGGTGAGGGACGTTATGTTGCAGAATGATCTGGGGCAGGTCGCGGGTCGGGGACCGTCGATGGCTGGCCTGGGGAGCTGGTGGTAGCGGGGAGGAGGCTGGCGATTGGAGCTGTATGTGATACGGAAATGACATTTATGGGTTATAATGAGGATGGGCTGGTGTTATGGTGGTATATATATCCTCTCTACTTATTTCTTGTGGGCTAGATAGTTCAGATCTTCTGAGATTTGTGGAATCTATAATCTTTTCTCAGTCCCCTCCCCTGGGTTCGTTGTTAGAGTACTCGCGAGACGTCACGACGTGAAAGGCTGGTACATACTGCTGGTATCCGTGCATCTGCCTCCATTTTACATTTGAGGTGTAGCTGGATAACCGGGAGGGGCATAACGACGAGGCTGCAGACGCCAAACACTGTCGAAAAAAGAAAGAGACGGGATAGATCGACGAAAAGCGTCCTCAAAGTCAGCAATATATATATCCACCACAATCAAGGGAAAATTGGCAATAAGCAAATCCGTTCATGTTGTTGGGCTTCATACAGTAAATGTGAGTTTTCAGATGTTTTTCAGGCGGCGTAAGACTGAAAGTATCGTCTTGGGGAAAGTGCGGTGGTGCTTCGTCCCTTCCCTTTCTGGTTTTGTCAGGTCGCGCCTTCCACTTCTGCTGTCCTTCGCCTCCCCCTTCTCATCTCCCAAGCCTCAAGCCTCAAGCCTCAAGCCTCAACCTTCATCCATCAACCTTCGACCCTCAACCTTCGACCTCAATCATCGATCCCCCTCGTCATGGAAGCTATATATTTGGGTTGATGGTTTCAAACTTAGATATACCAAGGTCACTTCAGAGGTTGCCAACGTCGCCTTTTCAGGTTACCAGGCTCATTTCTGAGATTATCCAACTCACCTCAGAAGTAACCCACGGAAGCTCTCCGTTTGAATCTACCGAAGTTGTATCTCAACTTGCCCCAATGGCTGGAAGTTTTGACAAAAAAGAGTAAGAATATGTTGCTAGAAAATTTATCGAACCCTAGCAAACGCGTTACAGTTGAGATTTGTGGCGCAACTACAGGCATCATCTCTCAGCTCATGGCCGCCTGGCCGGCCTACGTGCTCAAAACCGAGGAAATAGCAACTACGTATGTGCATCAAACCCCCAGCATTTTCCCCACTCTAACATTTCACAGGAATCCGCATCCTTTCATACCTCTAAATTGGTGCAAGAGGCAGACGAGAGAACCAAATCATGGCAAACCCAAAATCCTCGCCGCTACCCCAGATCACGTTGCTGAAGCGACGACCATCTGATGGTACGACCAACAAAATCTTCTACTCTAGATAACCCCAGTTAATTTTACATATAGTATTCCCGAGTGATGGCCACGAGCGAGCAAGAGGCGAAACTTAAATGACATGATCCCAAGTAGCGGCATGATTTCGTTTACGGATTCATCAGAACAGGCAGGGAAGGATGGGTTGAAACTCAACGCCGAAGCACGAGTAGCCGTTACGGAAGAGAAGACACTTGCCCCACCATTCTGGTCAAAAAGCTCACTCGGGAAAATAAGGATCTCGCACTTGAAAGAGAGAAACTAGCTCTGGAAAATAAGAGGCTTGTTCTAGAAAAGAATAAGCTCGCCCTGGGAAAGAGGAAGCTCGCCTTAGGAAAGAAGAAACTCGCTCTGGGAAAGGAGAAGCTTACTCTAGAAAAAGAGAGGATTGCTCTGGAAAGTAAGAACTGGCGGTAGAGCAGGCATGTCAACAGTGTAGTGCGAAACTCGCACTGCACTATCAGTGTCGCACTGATAGTGTAACAGTGCAGTCATTACGAGCCTTGAAAGTGTGGTAACTTGGGGAAAATCGCCGTAGAATTACATGATGTCCAACTCTAGCTGTTCTATGCTACGATCCACATTCTCAGATCCAATTTTCTGAAGCGTCCAGGACTTGATACACTCGAGCGCTTGTACTGTGTCTGGCAATAGCTGTGCTCGGTCCTCATTGATTGTATTTGAGGCTCTTGAAAACAGCCTCTCAGGCTCATCATCACTCATTGCTGGTATTGACAAAACATCGATTGCCCAACGAGACAAATTGGGATATGCCTCTTGTTGTGAGGCCTCTTTCCACCAATCGATTGGCCGCTGTTTACTCTTCTGGCTAAGCCGAGGAGTCAAGCAATACATCTCATACTCGTCACATTCTTCATCCTGAGGGTTGTTCTGCCCATGACACCCCCCTATTCCATGAAATATGATAATTTCTTTAGCACTTTTACTCCTATCTATAAACGGACACACCATTCCATTTCTACACAAAAACTACCATAAACTCTTATCTCTACTTACTATATAAACTAGAAATCTTCCAACTATTCTCATATCATGACCCCCCTATTTCATGAAATATGATAATTACTTTGCCAACTCTACTCTAATCTACAAACAAACTTGATTCTATTTCTACACAAAAACTACCTTATATAACATCATCGCTGCATACTTACTACATAAACTACACTATTCTTATATCATGGCGGCTTCGTCATTCGGCTTGGGCCCTCTCAACCTCCCTATTCCATCACCTCCTGCTCCTTCCTTGGCCTGTGTCCTGTACCTCCCACCCTATTCCATCACCTCCCGCTTCTTACTTGGCCTGAAAACTCTACCTCCCTCCCTCGTATCAAAAATCGTAAGAGGCCATTCGATTCCTCTTGTAAATCGCTCACAATGACAATACCAGACGTTACTTTTCGCCCATTGCTGCAAGACCTAGGCCACATCTCATACCATGGCTTCCTGCCTAACAAATCCTGAATATCTCTCTCATTTGAAGTTGTATCCAAATTCCGAAAAAGCCATTTTCTTCTGCTCTTAAAACAGCCCTATATACAATGTCGACCAACCCATTATAGTCAGAATTTATAATAAATTAATTGAGTTTGGAATTTTCGACTTTTGAGACCTTTACTAGGTAGGCGGCCTCTATCTGGGCCTCTTTTGCATTTTCGCTTTTTTCGACTTTTTTGCCGGGTAGCTCACTTGGGGTCATCCCCCATTTTCGCTTTTTTTGGCCCTATGTACCTATGTACCCCTACCCAAACTTCAACATTGAATAACTTTTGTACCTAATGAGCTACGGACATCATTTCGGTTTTATTGAATTCGCGCGATTGAGCTCTACGTTTTTCATCGTATAAACGAATTGATCTAAGAAGTGGATCAGATGTTACAGTGCACCTTTGAATTTTCGACTTTTGAGACCTTTACTAGGTAGGCGGCCACCATCGCAGCCACTTTTGAATTTTCAATTTTTGCCTGGTAGGTCGATTATAGCGTTGGTACCTTATGCGCTCCAGCCATGGTGTGGGCGGCATGGGGTGTTGGTGGTGTTGGCGGTGTTGCATTTTCGCATTTTCGGCCCTATGTACCCTTACCCTACTAAAATCCAACCCCTAGAACTTCAACATTAAATAACTTCTGTACCTAAAGAGCTATTGACTTAGGAGTGATTTTATAAGTTTCGCATGCCTTAGGAGCACATATATAGTCATATAACATATTGTGTACAATCGATCGATGTATAGTGCAGTACAATAGAGCGATTCAGCAGTGTTCGACAGTCGTCGGCTTGACACTGCCTAATCCGGTGATGCCAAGCAGTACTAGAGTACTACTAGATTATATTAGTATTAATTAGAGCAATAGAATCCTTGTTTAGTACTTACCATACCTCCTAATTAGGCAATATCAAAAGTTTGGTGATATTGACTGTATTGAACACTGCGAGAAGAAAAAAAGATACATCGCGGTACGTTTATTGCCATACAAATATATATGTAAATGGAAGTACCTATATGTACCCTTTTGCGACCGCCACCACTTCAAATTACCCCCCCTATTCGACCACCACTTTCGTTATAAAATATCTTTGCGACGTAGCTACTATATTGTGTAAAAATAAAGGAGGTTATAGTAATATAACCTAATGTCGGATACTGAAGAGCTAGAGTTGATTGCTCTTACTGTTTGCGCAGCAGCCTTACTTGTTTGACGTCGTCGCCGGCGCCGATATTATTGGTGGCTTATACGGTCTTTACATATAACTCAACGCCCACAAGCCCGGATTACATATGAATATGAGAAGTTCTACTGGAATCTACGATCGTGGGGTAGTCAAACTCCAGGGCGGGTAGTACACAAGTTCCGGTAAGTAATTGAATAGGGGTTGAGGTTTGGGGTATAGGTTCTTATACTATTAAGGTTTTTAATTGAGGAAATCGCCCGGCTTGTGCCACTCCTTCAGCTTTATAAAATCGAATGGAGAGACCGGGTAAAGCCAGACTTAGAGACTGCTCTTTGTGTAGTCCTAGCTCGCCTTGCTTATCCAGGACGTTGGTCAACCTGCGCTGATCTTTTTGGGCGGTCGCCAGCATGCTCTCTACAGTTTTCAACGACGTAATGAGCCACTTAGTACACGAGTTTGAGGCTGTACTCGAGTGGCACCCATACCTTACATACAAGAAGCTGTTACAATTCGAAGAAGCGATTGAAGACAATGGTGGGTGTGGTCAAATATGGGGGTTTGTCGACAGAACCTTCCAAGGCTTTTGTCGACCAGCAGGAGACTCCGAAGTCCAGCAGCAGTGGTATTCTGGATATCAAAAGAAGCACGGAATGCACTTCCAAGCAATTGTAACCCCAGACGGGCTTGTATCTTCCTTAATTGGACCATATAACGGACCCGCAAACGACTGGCGAATATGGCAGGATTCTGGCTGCGTACAGCGGATCCGGCGTACTATAGGAGGAAGAAAGGATTTATATCTTTATGGGGACCCTGCCTACCGTTGTACAGATGGTATTCTAGCCCCATATACTTGCCCTCGTGGTCATCGATATCTTCCGCAAAAGCAGAAGCAGTTTAATAAGGCGCTATCGTCTGTAAGAATTGCAGTAGAGAACGCCTTTGGGTTAACACAACAGTTATGGACATATACAGCATTTGACAAGGGGTTACAGTCACAATCGCAGCCTGTAGCTGCTCACTTTGAAGCTGCAATATTGCTGTCAAACTGTTATACCTGTATTCGTGGCAATTTGATCAGGACAAGGTTTCTAGTACCACCACCAACAGTAGAGGAGTATCTTTGTTATAATAGCTAGCTACGATATTGTAACGCTGACTTCTAAACGATAGAAGACACAGAGGTTCTCTTGCGTAAAGGTTTACTTATCAGAGGAGACAGGGGATCAGACACAAAGGCTTCAAGTAACATGTTACTAGTATATAACAAATACTGTATTGAGTTGAGCACGAAGCTCCTATCTAAGGAAATACTATCTACTTATATAGTGGCGTCGTGCCTAGTGGACTCTTGGGAACTCACTCGAGTCCTCGGAGTCCTGGACTCTTAGGATTCTTCTCATCATCCTGCGAGTCCGTCATGTGCCTAGTGGACTCTTGGGAACTCACTCGAGTCCTCGGAGTCCTGGACTCTTAGGATTCTTCTCATCATCCTGCGAGTCCGTCACGTGCCTAGTGGACTCCTGGGAACTCACTCGAGTCCTCGGAGTCCTGGACTCTTAGGACTCTTCTCATCATCCTGCAAGTCCGTCACGTGATACTTTCGGAACTACTATTCCCCGCTGCCCCTCCAGGTACCAGGGCCGGTCTCATGCGACCTCCCTCCTTCCTGTCCTGTAGTTGGCCAGCCTTCTTGTTCCGTCGTAACACTCGCTCCCTTCCCCTGGGCATTCGTCTCGAATCCCTGGGACTCTGCTGCTCCTCAGCGAGTCCTTCAACATGCAACATGCCTACTGACACTGCCCGCAAACTCCAAGAACGCAACGATCTTGTCCGTCGAATAAAGAACCACGGATACGAACTACCCGAAATGGATTCTTGCTCGAACTGCGTGAGGCGAAACGTTACTTGCGTGTCATCTCCAAATGATTCACGGCGGTGCGCCGAGTGCGTTCGTCGCAACTTGAAAGAAAAGTGTGACTGTATGGGTCCTGAGCATCCCGACTGGGTGAAGCTCGAACGGGAGGAGGATCGCCTGGATCGCGAAGAGGAAGAAACCCTTTCAAAGTTACTTCGTCTGCGGAAGCAGAAACGCCTCATCCGAACCCGTGGTAAAGATATGCTCCGGCGAGGTTTGAAAACCCTCGACGAGCTTGATGCGGCAGAGGAGGCCGAACGTGTGGCTGCTGAGAAGCGTGACGCTGTTGAGGCCGAGGAACAGGCAGTTAGCGCTGCCTCCTCGTCTGTGACCGGGACCCCCGCTTCCTCCGATCCACTGGCCT